ATAAATTCTCTTTGATAAATGTGTATATGTAAACTGCTAATAAAATTACAAAGAAATAATCTACACTGGTAGCTCAGTTCCTGAGCAATTTAATTTGTAAACAATTTGGTTCATAAAAAGAATTTGGAGAAATTTTCTTTTCTTTGAAAATTATGCATTCAGTGATAAACACATTCATAGCTGTTATGTACACAAACACAAACATGGTCAACTTTCCCAAATCAAATTAATGAACTGAAGTATAACTATATATAGATAGGACAAAGTAGAGAGAAATAAAGGGAAAATTTAAAAGAAGAGTAAAAACTAAGAAAAATGTAAGAAACAAAGCAGAAGGTTAAAGAAAGATTTACCAAGTTTCAGAAAAGTGGTGAACAATAATGTCATAATGGATGGAAGAAAACAGAAGCACAAATGTCCAAGCACAATGGACACACACACACACACACACCCCCCAAACAAAAAACCCAGAAAAACAAAAATGTAAAGACATTTCTCTGTGATTTTGAATGTGTCGTTTTCTTCTGGGATCTACAAATATGTTGGAATGACCAAATCAAAATGTATCCCTCCTTATGCTGTTGGATAAAGGCAGTGTCACCAGAGATCTGTGGATGCTGTCACTAGCAAGCAGGTACTAGGTTTAGGGTAAGGGTGCCAGTTCTGGAACTTTGAAATAGACAGCAATTCAGGTTGATCCTGGCCACTTGACATAGAGGTGGGGCACGAATCTTTAAAATTCATTTGGGAGTTTCTTGTCAGCCTGATGATACCTTCCTGACAAGATATCTCGCCACACTATTCCTTAACCAGTCACCATGGAAACATAACATTGGAAGCCATAAAATGAAGCTAACCCATGGATGCTGAGTCCTGGGCTTAGTCAGTCTCTCCCTGGAATGACAACTGACCACACGCTGTAGGGATATGGCAGGCTCATGGGCTGGAGTCATTTAACAGCTATTGTAGCAGACAGAATCTGCTGGTTCATTCAATTGTTATAATTTTCTCTGAAGGCCTCTGTGTTCCGGCACTTTCAATGTGTCTATGTAACTTTGATTTTTTTTTATCAGCAATTAGAAGGGAGGGGTTGGAGAGAAAGTGCTATGTTCCCATCCACTTTTTGTGTCATGTTGGAACTTCAAATTTTCCACTCACTCCGACTTTCCCACCAGATCATAACTGTCACCAGAGCATTCACTCCTTTTCTTTCCACGTTTGTTATTTTCCTAGATTTCAAATCTAGGAAAGGCTTTATCATTTCTTACCACTGACAATTTACCTAAAGTCCTTGAATTCTATTTTAGTAAAGAATTGATATGTGATATTTCTGTACATATTCTGTTAGAATGTTGCATATGCTAATGCATAGGGCTTTGTTTTATTCATAAAAATTATTTCATCTAAGTAATGTCTGTGCAAAGCAAATGTATTTGTACCATGGTGGTAATTTTATCTTTTAAGAATTTTAGGAGATCCAGTCCTAGCCCAGGTCCGGTGAGTGTTTGGGAGAGCTTCCAGCTACCCTGCACCAGTGGGACCGACTTCTGGTCCCAGATCAGGCGCAGCGTGGATGAGACCTTCTTCCACCCCCTTGGGACGCACCCCACCCGCCGAGTAGGAATTTCTGCCGAGTTCCAGGAACCCCAAAACCCAGTCCTAGCCCAAGTCCAGTGAGTGTATGGGAGAGCTTCCAGCTACCCTGCACCAGTGGGACCGACTTCTGGTCCCAGATCAGGCGCAGCGTGGATGAGACCTTCTTCCACCCCCTTGGGACGCACCCCACCCGCCGAGTAGGAATTTCTGCCGAGTTCCAGGAACCCCAAAACCCAGTCCTAGCCCAAGTCCAGTGAGTGTATGGGAGAGCTTCCAGCTACCCTATCTGGCAGGACCGACTCCTGCTTCCAGTCCAGGTGCAGCTTGGGGGAAACCATCTTCCAGCCCCTTGGGACGCCCCCCACCACTCCGCAGCACCTCCCCACCCCACCCACCCAGTAGGAATTTCTGCCACGTTCCAGGCACCGTCAGACCCAGTCCTTGCCCAGGTGGGGTGAGTGTGTGGGAGAGCTTCTGGCTACCCTGCACCGGCGGGACCAACTCCTGGTCCCAGCCCAGGCACAGCATGGGTGAGACCCTCTTCCACCTCTTGGGACGACCCCGACATTCCGCAGCACCTCCCCCACACTGCCTCCTGAGTAGAATTTCTGCCAAGTTCCGGGAACAATCAGACCTAGTACTAGCCCAGACCCAGTGAGTGTGTGGGAGAGCTGCCTCTA